GGCCCGCCTGCGTCCGCCCGCCAGGCCCCTCCTCTCGGCGGCGCCGCGGAGCGAGGCCCGAGCGCTCGGCCGGCCGCGAGCCCGCCGGCCGGGGACGAGCGCCGTGGCTCATGCTGATCGCTGTCCTCCTCCTCCCCCTCAGGCGGCGCTGGCGGCGGCCCCCGGACCCGCGGAAGCCGGCATGCTGGAGAAATTGGAGTTCGAGGAAGAAGGTGAGTGCGCCTCCCTCCGCCCGGCATGCGGGCATTCCCACGGCGACTGCCCCCAGGACGGGCGCGCGGGACCCCGCCCGGCGCCCGGGACCCCCGGGACTCCGCCCCGCTGGTCTGGCCGCTGCCGGGCGCCGGCTGTGTCCTGCGGGAGCATCGGGCCCCGGGTGGGGATATGGGCGCCGGCGAGCTCGGATCTGCAAGGCACGCCGTGTCTTCCGGAAGGGACACCAGCTGGTCTTCCCGAGGGAGCCGGCCACCCAGCATCCGCACCGATAGGCGGCCCTTTTGTCCTTACTAACCGAACTCGAATTAGAGCAAGGTGTCATACCGCGCTAATTGTACATGTCACCGTACACTCAGAGGTAACCCCAGATTACATCCACAGTCCATACCTTTAAATAACCCCATTTGGTCCCTCTATGTGTATTTGTGAAAATACACCAGTAGGGTGTGTCTTCTTTTTTAATAGGGAAAGTTGAATGTGAGAACCTGAAGCGGCTTGTTGAATTGGTTTTGAGTTCTGGCGACCCCCTTGCCCCATCATTCCTGTCACCGCTCCTCTCACTTGGTTTTTCTTTTCCCTGTCTTGTTTTCTTCTTCCATCTTACAGGTAAATGATCTGGATCTATTTGCAGGCTGTTAAAAATTTGCCGAGGATAAGCTTGTTCTTTGGCAGAATTAATATTTAAAATGGAATGTGATGAACTATCACTAGGATCTTATTTTCAAGCCGTTAATATTTGAAGATGAGCTTGTTCTTTGGCAGAATTAATATTTAAAATGGAATATGATAAGCACAAAGTCAAAAAAGAACTCAGTATAAGATGCTTGACAATTTGAGGACTTCAAAAGGCCTCACGCTATCTTGTGTACTTCCATTATTTATTTAGCGACTTCTGTTTTTTCCCAGAGTGTTGATAGACTAAAGCTCCGAAACAAAGAATGTGCCATGTGGATGCTGTCCCTCGTGCCAACTTTACTTTAATACCTCTGCTCATTCACAATCAGGCAATTACTTCAATGAGTCTGCACAGCCAACATGAGAGTGTTAGCCCCATAAAATCAGCTGGGGCCTGATATTGTTTAGATTCACCGCAGCATTTCACAGACATGTTAGCTAGAAGATAATACGTGCATAGTAATTATCATTAAAAGTCTTTGTCCATATTTATAATTAATAAATGATGCATTTCGGAATTTTACTGGACTTAATTTGCATTTTTTCCTACTGAAAAATAATCCAGTGCCTTAATTCGAATCCACCTCACTATTCCTCAGTTTTATTATATTGCAGGCCAAATTTTGGGCACTACCCACAGAGTGAAAAGGACTTTGACTGTAAATTACAGGAGTTTTCTTTGTCTCTGCTATTAGTAACAGTGAGAATCTATTGCATTTACAGTTTTCTCAGATTTACATGGAGACAAGAGGAGACTGGAGCTCAAGTTCACATCACACCTCCTTTTATAGTTTTCTGTGTGATCTTGGATGAGTTACTTAACCTCTTTGTGCCTTGGTTTCCTCATTTATGAAATAACATCAGGATTAAATGAGGCAGTCTGTATCATGGTATTTAGTACAGTGGAAAGCCATTTTAATAAGCACTTCATAAATGTAGTTACTGTTATTGCTGAATTGCCATTAACCATTACACTGAATTCATAAACTTTTTTTTTTTTAGAGATAGGGTCTTGCTCTATTGCCCAGGCTGTAGTCTAGTGGCCTGGTTGTAACTCACTGCACCCTTGAACTCCTGGGTTCAAGTGATCCTCCTGACATAGCTTCCCAAGTAGCTGGGACTATAGGTGTATAGTACTCCACCTGGCAATTTTTTTTTTAATTTTTGTGGATATTAAGATCTCACTATGTTGCCCAGGCTGACCTGAAACTCCCAAAGTGCTCCAGTTATAGGCATGAGCCAGTGTGCCATGCCTAAATTCATGGCCTTCTTAAGGTTTTTATTAGTGAATCTTAACACAGAGATTCTTCTCAACACAGATTTGATGTTTTTCTTTCCTACTTGAGATTTATTAATTTAATTATTTGCATTTCTCAAAACAGATATAGAATCTTTTTTTCTTTTGCATTGTTCTGTCAGTGTAACCAACTTAAAGTATTAAGCCTAAGTAAGAAAGGGAATTTCTCCTTTCACCCTTCTATTTTTATCTCTAACGCTGTCAGAACTTTAAACTAAGCATACTGAATCCCACAAATAACCCTGTCAAACTTTTCTAGATTTTTAAGAGGCAGAATGTTAAGTAGTGCCTTGGAAGCTGAGCTGAGCTAGAGGGAGGAATAATGTTGGCCTGGTAGTCCAAAGTGCTACTGTGTTTCTCTTCAACTGTAAATTGCTTATTCACCCAAAATACAGAAAAAATGAATATCAAGCAGAATTTTACATTTATTTAGAAAGGAGTGAAGTCCCAATAGTAAGACATTACACCTTTAAATATCCTGTGAACTAATATATTAATAGCCCAGGTAATAAGTAGCCACTGAATAGATCCTTGTTTCATTATTAAACTTCTCTCCTACCTAGTTAATATCTTAGTTTCTGGGTTGAAGGCATGACTTAGACCAAGATACATTTGTTATACATGGAAACACATAATTACTAATGTTTTTGTTACCAAGTATTTTTCTATTTCCTGATAAGGCATTACTGATACTATATTTGTTAGAAACAACTTAGAGGCACTAGTGAAGTTGGGGACAAAGATGGTCTAACTTTGCCTAGTTGGGGTCTCCTTTGGCTTGGGTTATGATACAAGCTCCCTGCACCTTTCTGCAGTCAGTCCTTCTTACCATCACACTCTGTCTGACAAGAAGGACCCTGTAGACTTGTATGGGTTTGATGGCATCACTCCTTTACCACTGTCCTGAGTGCAGACTTCTCTTACCCTGAAGGCCCACCACCCCTGCCTTTCTGCACAGTCGCCAGAGGGCTTTTTACTAGGCAAATTCCAATTCTCTAGATCTGGATGGGACCTGGATTGCACACTTCAGCCCAGCCCCAGGGTGACCGCCACCTCCAATTCTTAGACCCCTCTTTGAATAACAAGGCTCTAGGACCTGGGCAAGCAATCTTTTTCCTGCAAGGGCCAGACAGTAAATATTTTTGCCTTTGCAAGTAATGTGGTCTCAGCCTCTGTTGTAACTACTCACACCGCCCTTGCCGCAGGAAAGTAGAAAGCAGCGAATGGCCAGACACAAATCCAACCAGCAGGGGCTATGTTCTAGTAAAACTTTACTTAGAAAAGGCCAGACCGGCTCCTCAGGCAGAGTTTGCCAGACCCCTGCTCTGCAGCTCCGTCACTGAGTCTGGGCCTCGGGCTGCACATTGCCAGGACTGTATGCTGTGGACCAGTACCGCAAGGCTCACCCTTTCTTTGAGGCATCCCCAAATACCTTGTGTACTTCTGTCACACAACGCCCCCTTCCCTGTGCCTCCTGTCATAGCTGGTGTATAGTAGGTGTTCTGCAGTGCTGTGGGATCTCAGTGATTCTATTACGTTTGTAGTTACTTTATGGGGATGTTCAGAGATTAAATGATTACGTAATAAAAATTGTGAGACATGTGCCTTGCCCATAGGAATCACTAATCACTCTCTGGGTTTGCTTTTTACATTTATGTAAGGTTTGGTTTGGTTTGGTTTTTGAGACAGGTTCTCTCCTTTGTTGCCCAGGCTGGCGTGCAATGGTGTCTCCTTAGCTCAGTGCTACCTAGCCTGCTGAGTAGATGGGACTACAGGTGCCTACTAGCATGCTCAGCTAATTTGTTTTTATTTTTTGTAGAGATGGCAGCCTCACTGTGTTATCCAAGCTGGTCTGGAACTCATAGCCTCAAGCAGGCCTCCCACTTCAGCCTCTCAGAGTGTTAGGATTACAGGCATGAGCTACCATCTTTGGCTGCTTTTTACATTTTTAATTGTTACACCAGTGGCGTCTTTTCTGTGTTTGTATTACCAGTGTTAACTGTCTTGAACTTATTTGCTGGCCAGGACCAAGTACTTTGTAGTTGGTAAGCACCTAAACACAGCCCATGAACGCTTTTGAAAGTGAGTGATCATTCAGCAGTTTTGTTCAGGACTAGCAAACCTGCTCCACTCCTGCCCTACTTCCTGAAGTCTGTGGCTGGTTGGAACTATCCGTGTGTTCCCCAGGCGTCCCTCATGGCTTAGCTGCCGTAGGGTCTTCAGCTACTGCAGGGTCTTCAGCTACTGCTGGTTTCTGATACCTGGCCATGGCGGGCGGCTTTCCCTGCTTAGCTGAGGACGTCTTGCCAGTCCCTCCTCGTCCTCATCATTTGCTGTTTACTTCATTCCAGTCTCTCCACTCTGCCCTAACTGCTCCTTCTTCACCTGCCAAGTGCTTTCCCAGGAGGAATCCTCTTTCTAGAACTCCCTTATTCTAGCAAGGCTGGTCATCAGGTTCCACTGAACAAAAATAGGTAAGGGGCCACTTTTTGTGGGAGGGGGAATGCATTATTTTTCAGTCAAGATTCTTAAGATTTAGGCCCCGTTTAGAATTGAAGCACCTATAATTCTTGGGATAACCCAGAAAGTCTCTTGGGTCTTTGTTTGTTGAATTATTGTTGTCACTGTGGGTTTTCTTATAGAACTAGGGGTTGGTATTTGATGAGCTTTTAATTTCCTTCTTCCTCAAAAATAGGACCCCAGGCCATGCACAGTGGCTCACACCTATAATCCCAGCACTTTGGGAAACAGAGGCAGGAGGATTGCCTGAGCCCAGGAGTTCGGGACCATAGCAAGACCCCATATCTACAAAAAAAATTAAAACTTCGTCAGGCATGGTGGCACGCTCCAGCATTCCCAGCTACTCAGGCAGCTGTGGCAGGAGGATCACTGGAGTCCAGGAGTTTGAGGCTGCAGTAAGCTATGGTCGCACCACTGCACTCTAGCCAGAGAGCAGAGTGAGACCCTGTCTCTAAAAAAGGAAAAAAATAATAAGACCCCAAAGCAATCTACAGTCACTATGTA